TTCGTCAAAAGGCGTAGGTGGCAAACGCGATTAAAATATTTGCATGTCTATGTATGAGCAACATTGTCTAAATAAAAAAAATATTTTTGAAGTACAGAAGAAAAGCCTCAAAATCGATCTAGAAAAGGAAATTCACTTACTATGACAAAGATGGCAATCTGGAAACATTCTTATCTCTTTACCCTATAGCTATAGGCATGCAATTTATACACGGCCATCAAATGATTGCTCAGCGAAGTACATTGATATAAGAACGGTGAACAATACCCATAATACATTACATAATTAATGATCTGCTAACTTAAAAGAAGAGTAGAAGGCTTGTGTGTTTAGTGTTAAAATGGCTGTCTCAAGCATATGTGCGTTACTCTTTCTATCAAGACTATTCCTGCTGGGAGAATGCCCAACCGTCCAAGCCTTATTCCGCAAAAATGATGGCAAATACTTAGCGAATCATGTCATCGAAACAAAACACGCTGAAACCGAGTTAGAATGCGGTATGCATTGCGTTGCTCATGGATTATGCGTGTCGGTTAACTACAAAATTTCTGGAAGCGGTAAAGGTCGATGTGAGCTCAACAGCAAGGCCCTGCAAAAAACATCTGACGATGATCAAAATAGGAGCATGTTCAGTAACCCCGAGTTCATACATATGTACATAATCAAACAGGTAAGAAAAGAATTCTAAAGATACATAATTCAACAAAATACGCCCTATAAACCCACATATTCCTGTTTTATATATTGTTTGTGGTATTGCAGTCCACGTTTAATTTCCACTAAATTTTGTAGTCTTACAATGATTACGACTCCATACTGTAGTACGTAGTAATTAGAAAAAAAAGACAAGCTTTAGGAAAATACTTTGCCGCTTCCTGCTTCAAAAAGACTGATAATTAAAAAAGTTGGGAGAAGAGTAAATTAAGCCCAATTTAAAATTACATAAATTAACTAAATGCTTAATTCTGTCACAGAGACCATGGATTTATATTTACTGAAAAGCAAAGCTATATTATGCTCAGTGTTAGAAAAAATATTTTTAGAATATCTGTTTATCCGTTATAGTTGTGCATGCATGCATATATACCAATAACGTGTAATGCAAGAGTGTTCTGGGAAGAAAATTGCACGAGTTTAACGCGACATGGTCTTGTTTATGTAGATACCTCCAAAACCTGACCCAAAGAGCAATCTGCCTGAATCAAAAAATCACTCAGCAGGTATGATGAAAATAGCTACAATTCTTGGAGTGAAAATATTTAACCTTTAGAACAAACTGATAAATTGCAAAGAATGTTTTCGGTGAGCAAATTTCAACTGTCTGACCAAATGCTGTTGGGATTGACAGGACAGGTGTCCGAGGGCCTAACGGCAACCAAATTTAAAACCAATCAATTTAGCTAGTAATGTTACTAGAGTTACTTAATAATTTTACCTAATAATGTTAAGATGTGCGTGTATATTGATTTGTTATATGAACTTTCAATGGTGCATTGTGTTAGGGTGCCTGTTGATTTTGAATATTAAGAGGAGAGTTTTTATTATGTCGCGTATTTTGGCGGGAAAACGCTCAAAACCTAAAATCTTTTCGGCGTACCGCTCAAAATTAATTTATTTTACCTATACTCTTTACATTATGTTGTGAACTAAGTTTAAACTGTATTTGGTGAACGCAAAACACCAAACATAGGAGTTATTACAAAATATAATGCGGCTATCAACAATGTTATAATGTCAACGCGATTAGGGCTATAACTGAAATGAATACAAAAAAAGCTTCGATTCAAGTGTCATTTTCTTCTCGGCGTATCCCGAGAAATCTTTTCATTTTCACAATATTTTGAGATTATACAGTAAACATACTTTGCGGATGCTTTTCAGGTTTGCAAAACATTTTTAATGCTGAAAATTTTAGTGCTGTTGCATGAAGATATAACTGGAGTTTTGACTTAAACATAGAAATAGACATAAAGACAAATATCTCCTCTTAAACGAAATATAATACTCTTCATCACAACAAAGCTAAATATCGGGGGAGACCCCACACTATGGTCTGTCACCTTGGTCTGGGCCCTAAATATTGCAATGAATTTACTTGTAGAGTTTTGTAGCGTTGCAAACGCGAGAAATGTTTTTCAGGGCCGGTTGTATCCAGCCAGTTTAGCTAGCTTAAACGGCCGATAAGTCAAAATTGAATAACACTCTTACATCTCTCTTGAATGAGTCAACTTGAATATTATGCACTGAATATTTAGTTGTAAACAGTATTTTGCATTAAGGTAAAAAACATTTAGTTTGCTTGTTGAATCAAACGATAGACTTGCCTTCTATTTTGAACTTATCTACCGTTTAAAACACGTTCCAGAGTAAAGTGTGATATTCTGTTTAGTGCATTTCTTAACAAAATGCCACATTAAAGCCAAATACAGCAAGAAAAAAAACATTTTGTTGTTGAATTTGATCAGAACGTGTAAAATTTACAAAACAAGAATGTTTGCATTGCTAACTTGGGACGTTTTATCAATTTTTCTCTAAGTTCTAAATATTGAAGGTTTTGCTATTTTTTTTAATTTCCACAAAAAAATACAATGCTAGCTGTTAGTGGTCAATATGATGTAAAATCACCCCAAATTGCATAAACTGTACCAATTGTCTATTGATAAATTATAAAAAATCTCATCATTTAGCAGGCCATATAATAATACATGATAAAAACAGTTAATGAAACACATTTTATTTAAATACGTGGCAGATACATTAATCATCTTGCTATTTTGAGGTATTTTGCCACTAAAATGAAGATTGATTCAGCACAGTGTGGTATTTGGCAAATTTGCCACAATTATAATGGAAAATTGATTTACAGCATGTCCAATATCACAAAGCAAACCTTTTCTGGTTTCGAGATCTCGAAAGCCTTGCCTGGTTTCGAGATCTCGAAGCCTTTGCCTGGTTTGGAGATCTTGAAGCCTTTGCCTGGTTTCGAGATCTCGAAGCCTTTGCCTGGTTTCGAGATCTCGAAGCCTTTGCCTGGTTTCGAGATCTCGAAGCCTTGCCTGATTTAGAGAAAATATACAATATTATGATATAATAATACAATATAATAATTACAATATAACAATACAATATTAACTGTTAGGAAATTGTTCAATTAATCATATAATTAATTAATTAAATAAATTACATTAATAAAATACATTCTTGAGCTTAACATAGAAGCTGGTACGGCAATGAACAGCAACTCTACCATACACACTTTCAAAAAAAACAACATATTAAGATCACTACTGTCAGGTACATACTGTATTTGCTGGGTTTACCTGATTTATTTAGCCCTCCCTCTGCTGGATTAATCTCACTTTAATAGCAGACCTGTCAAGAACTAGGCATTTTACACCAAGTTCTTGGCAAGCTAAGGCACATATGATCCTGAACCTCCGCAGGCATCAACTACATATAGAGTTTTGTCCTGTACAAAAAGGTTTAGCAATTTTACATACAATTTAACTGGCTTAAATTGCCTTTGGTGGGTGATTCCAGTGTCTTTTTCTGCAAAGAACTCATCTGCAGACTGCGTGAATAGGTCATCTCCTTTGATTGGTTGACATGTTTTTGTCAAATGAGAGGGTGTGTTGACTTTGTCAAGGAACAGCTCTCTGCAAGAAACAACACAAATTATGAATGCTCACAGTATGAGGTTGTATGGCATTCAAGGTCTGATGGCATGGAGCACCTTACTGATATGCTAGCATTTTAGGTTATACTGGAGAAAGCATGTGATGCATAAAACTTCATAACTTTCTCTTTATACAACCATTCTTCTTTCTTTGTGATTTCATAAGTATGAAAATTAAAAAAATCACTGCACAAGGGAATGATGCACACGATATATAACAGTTTTAATATTACACATACCTTGTAGTACTACAGGATTGCAATGATAATATGCAATGTCCCATTCAATGCCCATGGACTCTAGGACTGTCACAAGAACTGACATGTTAGGAGTCTCTCCCGGGAAGATGACAAATCTTGTCTGTTCGACGTTATGCCTGAAGTTGATGGTTCTCATCATCCTTAGAAACTGCTCTAAATCTTTTGATGCCATGACTAGAATGTATAAAAATAAATAAAAATACATGACTAAAATAACAACATGTATGGTCTGTTGGGGTAGAAGTTGAGGTCAGGCTGAGTGTACCACAGCAAACATCATGCAACAATATGAAATACTGTAACACTGACCATGTTTCCAGATTGTGTGCATGTTACATGTACATAAGCGGACCTTTACTGTACTATATTCAATCAGGCATGAACTCTCAAACTAAAAAGCACGCAAATACTCAATATATCAAGTACAATCCACGATTTCATTGGGAAGGCAATTTTCATATCCACAAAATGCTGTTCATCTTAAACAACAAACGATGTGGATGCCAAATATAGTGCAAAAAGTTTGGAGATTTCGTTGAGATTTCGAGCTATCCGGCTTGCTCGGTAAATACCCGTGACTCAGGTTCACAAACTCCACAGGTGCTTAGGCATATGGAAATTTTCGATTCCCGTGAAAATGCGGAATTATCTGGGAAAATATCGACGAGAAGCGACACTAAAGGTTGCAAGAAAAATATTACGTACCTCTTTCTCATTTTAGAAATCAAGGTTGAGCCAAGAGACTTTGGTCAAAATCACGCGCGCCAATGTTGTGTTCAAGCGGGTTCAAGTCATCGGGTCTTCTTCCCAAGACTTGAATGCACTTATCACTCCCCCATATTCAGTCCCAGCCAGTTGAAAATTCGTCTTGTAATACAACACGAATCCAATTTACATAATATGTAAATTTAGACTGCTAAAGCAAGAGAGTTTCCATGCCATTCACAAATAAATACAGCAGTTGAAAAAAATACAACCGCTCGTTGGAGCCATGGAATCTTTCGCGGCACCATTTTAACAAAATCCACTGTTAAAAAGTCCATTTTTAACAGCAGAAGTAATGTTCGTGAGCTAATAAGGAGCTTTCCATACTTTAAACTTTTCGATCACTGCCGAAAGAAATTCAGATCTCAATAAAACTTTCGCTTTGTGAATTTCGTTAAAAATTCGAATTCGAACAAACATGCTGCTATGTGCCAGCGATTTTTTGCACAGCGACAGCAAATTTCCCAGCTGTTGTTAGAAATAGCATGAAGCATCACAATAATATTGACCGCTGCTATAGATTTTTAACAAGACTGAGGACTCGTATTTACAAAAGTTGACAATATTTTGATCGGAAATATTAATAAATAAAAGAAAATGTTCAAAATACATCCAAATAAGTCAACGAAAAAGGTGTCCTTGATATAAAAAGGTCCCTTTGAATCAACCTACAAGTTGCAGATGAAAATGGCGATGGCTAGTCTTTGCTAGGATCGCAATTCGGCATCGACATGTCTTCCGAAGCAAAAATATATTCTGTTGGAGCCCAAATGGCAAAAATAAAAGCGTATTAACGGCTGAAAACCTTGGTATGTGTTGATTTTAATGTTTTGTTGCTCCTCCAAAGTTCATGGGGCAATATTTAATTACGTTTTGAGAAGTTAACGATACTTTTGAGGATGATTAACTTTAACTACGTTTTAACTATGATTAACGCTAACCACGTTTTTATACAACCGGCCTAACTACGTGATTAAAGTTAACGACATTTTAACGTGTTAACGACATTGGCCACATTTGGGTATCTTAGCTTGGGCCCCTTGGCCCTTGGAATTATTTTATTATTGTATTAACAATTGTGAATAGTTTGTCAGATAAGGTTAAGCAAGTGAAAATATTGTTATTTTGACATCAACATCACGCAAGTGTATAACAAACAAACTCTAATTGAATATTTTAAATATATCATTTTATAGGATTTGGAGATCCCAGAAGGTGCCCCTGATCTTGTGCCATCTTCACCAGATAATGTGGACTTAGACAGATTGAAGAAGGATATCCCGAAATTTCTAAACAACTCCAGAGTCATTTCTACTGAACAAAAGGAGTGGTGGGACACCTTCTTTGCAGATGCTTTGGAAACATACCAAGTCTCTCCGGAGAAGCGTTCCTTGTGTCTGCTAGACGAAGTAAAGATCTTAAAGGCTTGTTCTTCAAACACAATGGCAACACCACATGCTTTGTCATCCTTGACCGTGCTTGCAGAAACCCATGTCAGATGCCACAGAAAAGGCAGCTGAGCTTGTCAATGCTCAGTTTAATGAGATTCCAGAGGTATAGTATTAAGGCTATGTACAGTTAAAACACACCAACCTCAGTGAGGGTAGCTGGCCAATGTGCATGCAATCAGAGTTGATGACAATGGAGAGTAGTGTCCAATACACTACAGCAGATCAACTAGGTACTGTAAAGTCTCATATTTACTAATTTCTCAAATTCTTTTTAAGGTTTACACTGGCCCTTATGTGAGACCAAAAACAGTCTCAGAAGTTGATAACCTGTGGCAGTTTGTGACAGTTGGGGTATTTGTGGCAGTAAACCTTGAAAATTATGAAAAGGTACCCGTCATTGGCAAAGTTGTTGAAAAAGATGAAGATAATGTCAAGGTGCACTACTGGAAAGGTTCTTGGAACAAGAAATGGACTCCTTGGTTGTACAATAATTTGCCTTGGATTGATGAGCTGCCAAAGGACTGTATATATTTAGCATCATTTGAACTTGATGAAAACGATAAACTGCAGAAGGATACTAAGCAAAGTATTAGAGAATTTTTCAACAAAGACAAAACTAATTAAAAATTTTAAAGTGATAATGCAAAGACTCAGGTGTGTATATTAAATGTATATATGTGATGTTGCTACTCTGGTCACCAACCGGGCAAGCTGAAAAATTAGCTTGACCACGGTGGGAATCGAACCCGCGACCTTTGGTTTGCTAGTCCAATGCTCTTCCAACTGAGCTACAAGGTCAAGACAGTTTGAGTGGTTGATATTTCGGAACTATTGGTGACTCAGAGTAGCAACATCACATATATACATTTAAAAATTTTAAGCTGTAATTAATGGCTTGCAATATTTATATATACAAAATTAATTTATTTTAACATACCAATGTTTTGGTAACTGTACCAGTAACCATAGTCATTCCTTAGGGCACTTGAAACCAGCCAATGCTTTAATATCTCAAGTCCTTGTCTGGTTTCGAGATCTCGAAGCCTTTGCCTGGTTTCGAGATCTCGAAGCCTTTGCCTGGTTTCGAGATCTCGAAGCCTTGTCTGGTTTTGAGATCTCAAAGCCTTTGCCTGGTTTCGAGATCTCGAAGCCTTTGCCTGGTTTCGAGATCTCGAAGCCTTGCCTGATTTTGAGATCTTGACTTTTGCAAAATGATCAGTTTTTGGCTATTTATATTCTTCTTCTATATACATAGATAATAATTTTAATAAAAAAGATGAATATAGCAATAAACAATATTTTTGTTGCTAATATTTGAATATTTACTTGATATCAGCCAAACCTCTTCCTTTTCTTGCAGATTTTTTGCAAAAATGGCTTTTTTAGCATGTTAAATGCTGTTGCAAACCGTTTCTTGAGAAATACTCATTTATTTGGCAGAAAATGAGCCAATTTTAAGTAAACAGAATATCACACTTTACTCTAGAACGTGTTTTAAGCTAAACGGGCTTGCTAATACGGTTTTGTTTATTACAACGAGGGAGAGAAAGATACCGTGTTTTCCAAAAAGTCTAGGATTATTAAACTTTTAATATATTAAAGGTAATATCCCGCGCACTATATTCGCTTGCAATACCCGCTTCTATACACTTAGGAAGAATAATTATGTAAATTTTAGATGAACTCAAATGATCACCCAGCTGCATGCCAATCAATCCCAGCGTCTCTTTGTTCCATTAAGTATATATGCCAACTACACTGACAGTGTTGTTTTACTAAATACATTTGAGTACTTGCAGGGTTGTGGCGAACGAGCTATAGGTTTTCGCTTCGGGTGACATCTGATATTGACCAACTTTTAAAATGAAAAATGACAAACTTTTTCCATCCGCGTATAATTTTTACTGCTTACAGACGGTCTTAGTGAACCCTTCTAAACACGGATTTTATTTATTTGCAAGGCGCCTGATCAATATAAATAATTTGAGAAACCTAATGTAAAAGACAAAAGTGGAGAAATTGGTCAGCATTAATCGGTCCAGGAAATGTTTCAAAAATTTTTTTAAATTCTAAACATCTTTGGAAACAGCTTATTTTAATAGGACTGGCCTAAAATATTCATAAAAACTCACTTATTGCATACTTGGTTCATTTACCAAAATCTGATGTGGATATTATTCTGACCATGCATGCCATACCAAAGCAATTCGACCATTTTTTTATCATGATCAATTATTGGGAGGGGGTAGTCACATCTTCCCGGTTGCTACGGCCCCGAGGCCTGAACACTTGTAGATCAAATACAGCGCTATTACATCTGGGATACAGTGTGGGTAAACCGTATATCGCGCTCGGAGGTAATTAAAGACGAAACACTTACGGGAAATTTGATGTTTACAATTGGTGAATGGGTTTCTTACGTTTGATTTTTGAAGTCATGCTCAGGAAAAAGAAAATAACGCGTCTTAAGACAAAATTTAAACGACCGGACAATTTTAAAAGAAAGTTATCGATAGGATTTTTTTCAATTGCGTAAAACCATATTTTCCCCCTTTAATTTTTTTATCGATAAAAAAATTGCTTTTTCTTAAAAAAAACTTTTTTCTTAAAATTGTCTCGTCAATTACTAACCATCTGGAAAAATGTTCAGTGGAAAAAGAAAACATTTCACCGAAGGGTTTGTGAAATAATCGTAGTTTAATGATAATTGGTGGCCATATTGAAACGTCATTGTTCCCATGGCAACAGCTTCTGTAATTGGCTAATCAATATTTTCTTATTTCGAACATGGTACTCAATACGTTAAAGCTAATTTTAATCTATAGTTTACAATATTGGTGCTTAATTCTGCATCATCAAACCTGCACTTAAAAAATTCTCAAAACTCTAGGGAGCCATCTTAAATTTAAACGGTGGGAAAACGTTTGCTAAACCGATTTGATAATGTACCTTTCTACATGAGTCGCAGTCTAAGATTGAGCTCACCATTTACCTTGGGGAGTCGGCTCCTGCATGGCTCATCGGAAGTATCCGGAAATGCTGGAAGGTTCCGGAAAATTCTAATGGAAATTCCTTCCACCATTTGCTTTTTGCGACCGGAATTTCGACTCCATAAAATAACGATAAGCACCCGTGATTTCTATTTTGTGGAACGCTTGATGCAACCTGCCCCGTGACAGCATTGCGAGACAAGTTGCATGAAAACTGCACCGTGAAAAAAGCCCACGCACACTGGATGTGATTCACCAACGCCACGCAAACTTTCAGTTTTTTCAAGCGAATAAATTCAAATATGAAAGGAAATTCTAAGAGCTACGGGCCCCAGACATGTGCCACCTTTCAGTATTTATCAAGAATAGCAGAGTAAAGATTAGTTCCTTTTGAAAACTCAAAAATTCGTCAAAAACACGTCGCGTCCGGTGAGTGGGCTTCAGGCCTCAAAGGGCCGCACGGGACGAAGTCGAAGGGATGCACAGAAAATCTTTATGGCCCGAGCAAAAAATTTTTTTTACACTTTTACCGAATTAAACTCAATTGCCGTTCGCACGAGACTTTATGGGAGGCGTGACTTTACTGGCGGCGGGAATTATATAAATGCATATAAATCTTTAATATTTAGGTATTTTCAATCATACCAACAAATCAGATCCAATGCAGATTTCATGCACAGCCATTCGTGTGAAAAATCCCTCAGCTGACAGTGGAATGTATTGTATCAAGCCCCGTGGACTTAATCTGTCGTTTAACTTATCTTGTGATATGACTTCTAAGAATGGTGTTGGTGTGACAGAGATTGGACATGACAGCGAATCAAGAACACTGGTGAGCGGATATGAGGCTGCAGGTTCTTACAACAAAACCATCAAATATGAAATTTCCATGGAGCAAATCGTTGTCATTATGAACCAGTCCAAGAATTGTGAGCAGTTTATAAAATATGAATGTAATGGAAGCACATTTGTAGACGGGGGTGAACGAAAGAGTTGGTGGGTATCACGTCAAGGTTCAAAGATGAATTACTGGGGTGGAGCGGCAGTTGACAGTGAAGAATGCGGATGTGCAGTGAACAAGAGCTGTGATGGTGGAGGAAACTGCAATTGTAACAAAAATGACCTAGTATTACGCGAAGACAGTGGATACTTAACGGACAAGAACACGCTGCCTGTTGCTGAATTGAGATTTGGTGATGCTGATCGATGTGTGAGCACCGGTGAGAAGGAGTATGGTTATCATACACTTGGGAAATTACGATGCTGGGGCTAAAAGGTAGAGCCAGATGCCTCGGGTAGTCAGGTTTTAAGCGCTGTCGCGACTTTGTATACACATGTACTTGTCTTTAGTCTTCTAGGTTTAAAATTGATAGAATTTTTTAAACGTTTTAAAACGTTAGATAAAATGCAATAGCAATGAAAATAGGCTTGTTTAGCGTGCTTTTTTAAGTAACAACGTGGTTGATACAGTAAACTGTATATATATGGAAGGCTCGCTCTAGTACATTCCGTAATCTAAAAATGAAGCCAAACATGGCGGATCATGAAGGCTGCTTGCTTCGAACGAACCAGACCTTCACGCACGAGCGGTTAAAAATTAATATGGCGGCAACGTGTAGGAGTGGAAGTCGGTCAGTTTTGTAAATACAACACAAATATACGGCATAAGTTACCTCTCTAGAAAGAATAACATTACCAGGTGAAGTTGTAACAAATTGTATGTATTTATTTTTAAAAACTTTGTATTTTAAAAAACTTAGTAACGTCCGAAATGTTCGATATTTTTTTTTGTCATAGTTTTATAGTTTGTGTTTTTTAGTTTCCACGCGCACTTCGCGCATTTCACGCTTCGTGGAGGTCTGGTTCGGTACCGAAGCAGCCTTCATGATCCGCCATGTTCGGCTTCACACTTTGAACTGGAGCGAGCCTCCCATATATAATTATAAAGTTTAAATAATTAAATTAAATAATGATGGAGAAACGATATTAAAATTAATAAGAAACTGCGTTCCTTGATATAACTTTTTATGATAACATAACATTTTAATTCCCTCCAATTGTAACAATTGGCAAGAGATAATTTGTCAATGACCGTCCAATGATTTCGTCAAGAAGGAACAACACGCTTCAGAATACATTAAATAACTGATTTTAGTGACATAAAAATTAATGTATAGGCAGCTTATTTCTTTGCAAGAGATGTTGTTTTAGGAATAGTCACATCCCTTTACTTTAACATTGTAAAGTTTACCAGAGAGGTGCTGAAATCACCTTACGCTCGCCTGCACTGTTTGTCTAGAATAAGGCTAAACTCTGTATGAAAGGTATCTGTATGAAGCACAAATTACCGATCTTTTTATTACAAATTACAAGGCTAAAATCCGCGTTGGAAGGTAATATTAGGCACAAACTTCAGATATTAGTTGTGACCTCAGAATTACTGGCCAAAACTGGCAGGTCGGAATTACATTAGTTTAATTTGTGACCAATATTTCTTCCGGTTCTCGCAATCCGCGCACGTGATATCAACAGGTAAGTTAATGGACCAGGCAAAAGTCCCTGCTTTATGCCGGGCGCACACACAACGATTTTACGGTAGTTGGTCCATTCTGGTTTAGACATATAGGCAGCCCTTGCCCAGACATGTTTTCCTTCTCGC